TTTAAACACATTTACCTTTACAAAGAACTGACATAAAAATGGCATTTCACATTAGTTATACCCCGCAAAAGCTAAGAAGTTCATATTTTACTTTTTATTTTATTTTATTTATTTAAAATTATTTTAAAAGTTAAAGTAAACACACATTTATTATTCATATATTTAGGACTTGAACTTTCAACTTTTCTATTTGTAAAAAAAGAAGTTATACCATTAGATTAGAAATTCTTTAACAAAGTACAAATACTTCTATAAAGGTATCGCATCAGTGTTATCGCAAATACTCCTTGCACATAGCCATAATTTAAAATAAATTTAATTTTAACACTTACACTTCGCCAACACTTTCCACACAATTTTGTAACATTCCTAATGCAAGTCTTATATTACACATTTACAAATCGTTTTCAACTATTTTAAAATAATATGAACATATTTCAAAGTGTCCAAATATTTTCTTTAAAGAAAATTGTTAGCATACACAATCACAAATGAAGCTTAATTTTTCTTATACAACAAAAGCATAACTGAATTAATGAAGCTTACAATAATATTTTTCTAATACAACAAGAGCATGACTAAATTTCTAAAGTAGTGGAGTAGTAGTATATATTATATAACAAGGATTATTTTAGTGTAGAAATAAAATTTTATACTAGTCTTACTTAATAGACGTAAATAACCAAAAATGTAGTCCACATCTTATTCATATCCTACCTTGGTTAAGATTTAACATGTAAAAAATCTAGTTGTTGTTTGAAAATTAAATGCTTTATATTATATTTAAGATGTAAAGAATCTTATACTAATATGTCATGATAATTAATAATATGCTAAAAATAATTAATTAAATATGCAATTTGATATTTAATTAAACATGTAGAATAATGTAATAAAATAATAATAATAAATAAAGAATCTAGACTGAGATTAGTATTAGATATTATGTCCTTAAGACAATTTACGCCCCACATGGTGTTGATAGACTCTGTGGCGTTTATTTCCCAGGATATAACGGTCTACTTCCACCAGTAGCAGCACTACAAACTCGTGGATACATCGAACCTTCTCTTTATAATACTCTCTCTGACTCAAAAATGCATATATATTATGTAAATGCTGAATTAGGTGCAATTCGAACCAAATGGTTTGGACTAATCTTAATATAGCTCAATGAAATTGGATTAGGATCTAAGTGGCTTGGACCACTTAACCGATGGTTTGAACCAACTTGAGTTGGGTTCAAGTCTAGAGGAGAGAGAAGAAAATGAATGGAACGATTTGCAAATGGCAGCCAAAAGGGGTATTTATAAAAATAGAAAAGTCTTTTCAAATTGAGTTCGTCTCTTTATCACGAACACAACCATTTATATGTGTGTCTTCATCACTGGACACAACCATTTATATGTGTCTCTTCATCACTGGACACACCCACTGTAATAGGTTGTAATGGTTCACATTGAATAAGTTATATTTGTTGGTTTTGAGTTACATCTTTTCATCCCACAACCAACAACTGATCACACCTATTCAGTCAAAAGGCATCTGTTGATTACTAATGTGTAATCATCCGGTCATTTTCCTCCCTTTCCTTCTCTCAAATTTTACGGATAAATTTTTTCCGTTTAATTTTTTTCCGAATTTTGTTTCTCGTCACTTGGTGTCGTCTCGAGTGCTTGGAAATAGTTTCCGAGACTCTTTCGTTTGGATTGACAACTTCCTTTAAGGACCGAATCATTTATACATTTTCACTTTTTCAACACTATTCACTTTTCGTCTTTTTCCCTATTTTGTCTTTTTTCCCATTGGTCACTTTTTAGCACAACCTTACTTTTCATGCTCGGAGTTGGTTTTTGGCTTCACGTGTCTTCATTCTAAGTGGTTTTCACGGAATACGTATCTTTACTTTTGTAGAAAAGTACTCTGGTTGCTCCCGGTGTTCATAGGGGCATGGATGCACAGTTCTTCAGAATCTTTTTCTTTTCATGGGGTGTTTTTCTTAAATATATTTTGAATATATTTTATTTCAGGGGTTTTTAAGAAAATATTTTTGGAAGATATTTTCATTTTGGGTCATTAGTACAATTAACCCTTTTTGGAGGAGCCATTGTGCAATTAACGAAAGTTATTGCAAAATACCCCGTTTTGAGCCTAGATCCTAGTACAGGATTCATTTTCACATTTCTTTGAGTCGTGTACTCTTAGAATTTCCTCCTGCTCGTTTTCTCCAGTTTTAGGGATTTCTGGCCCCAGTTGCCGCCGAACTTATTTGGGGCATATCTCTCTGCTCGGGACTTGCTTTTCAACGCCGTTTCTTCTATTGTTCATATTTTCTCATTTCAATTCTTTTTCATTCATGGAGTTTTGCCGTTTGAGTGCGTCTGCTCAAATTTAGGGGTAGCAATATTTGACACGACACGCTAACACGATACGAACACGACACGAGATAAGCGGGTTTGGGTTTGGGTTAATCGTGTTCGTGTCATAATCGTGTCAACACGGATTGACTCGCTAACTAAACGTGTCGTGTTTGTGTTTGACCCTATAAACACGATTATGACACGATTAACCCGATTAATTAAACGTGTCAAATAAACGTGTCGTGTTTGTGTAAAAAATAACCCATTTAGCAAAACGTGTAGAATAAATATATCGTATTCGTGTCAAAAATGACTTAAATGTGTCTTTTCGTGTCGTGTCAAGTCTTAACCCATTTATTAAACAGGTTATGCGTATCGTGTCGTGTCACACGTATAATAATCGTGTCGTGTTCGTGTCAAGGGTCTTAGACACGATTAATAATCGTGTCGTGTTTGTGTTACCCCTAATCGTGTCCATGTCATAATCGTATCGACACGAACACGACACGCCAGCACGAATTGCCACCCCTACTCAAATTCCACTTTTCTAAACCCGGCGGGGCCTTTTCGGGGTACTTTTTGAGATTTCTATAAATAGGTTGCCCTAAGTTTTAAAATCAGATTTTCCAGCCTTCTTCTCCATTTCATGGCTAGCAACCATGGCTACCCAAGGGGTTGCCACCCTTTTTTCTTCTCCTCCACTTGATTTCCTTTGTAAAAAATCTTCTGCCTTAACGTTTATCGTAGGCCTTGTCGTGCTTTACCTTTCCCCCTATTAGAATCCATTTCTGACCATTTTTGAGTTCGGGTTTCAAGTTCAAGTTTGGATTTTCATGATATCTCAAAGATTAAAGTTGCTCCCCTCGTTGTCCCCAACATAACCTAGGAGTATTGTCGGATTCAGAGCATTTTTCTTTCGGTGGGGATTTGAGATTTCATCTCAAATTGAGGTAGGGGTTACTATAGTTTATATTCTTGATGTATTGCATGCTATTGATGTTTATACAACTCATTTATATGTCTATGTATTAAATCTAGAAACTTCATTTATTTATTTTCTTGTATAAGATTTAATTCTTCCGGTTGGTTAGAGCTTGGTTTAAACATGTGGCATGATATTATATTACACTTTGATATGTTCATTGACATATATTAAATTGAGAGCTTTTGAACAAGAATTGAAGTTTTTATTTAATATTTTTTTAGAATTTTGACTTAATATTATTGATGTGCATGCCATATACTTTCACATATATTATATCAGGAATATTTGATTAGTTTTTGAAACCTTTCATTTATTTTTATTTTTCTTGTATAAAAGTTTATTTATCATGATTGTAGCTTGCATAGAAATCACTTATATTAGGTTATTAAATCAAGTCTTGACATGTTTTATAACATATTTTAATTTGAAAGCATTTGGGTGAGTTTAAAAATCTAGAGATTTTAATTAAAAGAATTAATTAAAATCTATTTAATGGTTCCATTGGCTTAATTAAGTTTTTAACTTGATATTTGTAATAACTAGGACTTGTTTACTAGCATATATTAATTTGGGATCATTTGAAATTGCTTTAGAACATTGGGATTTAAATTAGCATGATTTAATTAAATTCTACTTTATTGTTCCAATAATCTAATTAAGTTTTTGAATAGATATCGGTGATGACCGTGCTATATCCTTTAACATGTATCGAGTGAAATTTTTTTTTAACTTGATTAATTTTTCGCTGTCTTTCCAACGGTGTGCTCGGTTGCTCCCGGATCTTCCTGGATAATTACCAGTTTACCCTTTTATCTATAAGTGCTCGTTTTTCTTCGTCATGCCGTTTCTCCTTCGTCCGGACTCCAAATCATGCGATTCTTGAGTCCATCTTGATTATTTTTCGTTGTATTTCCAGTGGTGTGTTCGGTGGCACCCGAATCCATAATTTCATAAATGACTATTTTGCCCTTGGGGCTATTTTTGCTCAGTTTTTTTTACTTTCCACTTCCGCTACTTTTTTTGAGTTCTGTGACTTCATGGGAAGTCGCGGATGTGTTTCGGAAATGATATGCATTCTAGGGATGTCATTTTCATGTAAAATGACTATTTTGCCCCTGGGGGCTAAATTGTTATTTTTTTCCGATTTTTTGCTTTCGCGTCAGTCCTTATTGAGTTTTACGACCTCATGGAAGGTCCTCAAAGTGTTTTAGAGGTATGTTGTGCCTTGGGAGAATGTTGTCTTGTTTCTTACTTCCGCATTCTGGATTCGTTATAGGATCTACGTTCGTTTCATCACAGGACACGCTGACCTAAAAACTAAGGTCGTTACATGATTGAAACAATTTTCATTTTAAAATTCTAACATGTATATCTATAAATATTTAGAAATCTAGATTCCAAATTTTGAAAGGCATACATTAATTGCAAATATCAATTTTTTTTCCTTAATTACAAATATTTACAAATATCAATTTTTTATTTTTTTCATATATTAATGACAAATATCAGTATCAATTACAAATATCAATTAAAATTCACATAACGAGTGGGATAATAAATTTGTCAATAAGAAGAGGCCAAAACCCTATAACATGTGGTGCGTGGCCCTTTATTACCCAACTACCCTCCATATAGTCCCATAAATAAAATGCCCTTCACGGACTCTGTTACCACCATGCCCCAAGACAACCAAATTTTCTCTCTCTAAAATGTCACTCTCTCTCTCTAAAATGTCATTCAAATACAGGGGAAGTAGTACTAGCTTTTCAATGGCCATCACTACTGTATTCTATTTTCTTCTCATACTCTTCTCAGAAATCTCAAACTCTACAACAAGTGTTAGTGCTAGTCCTATCAAAACAGTGGTTGTGCTTGTGATGGAGAACCGTTCATTCGATCACATGCTGGGTTGGATGAAGAAGCTCAACCCCAATATCAACGGCGTCGATGGCTCCGAATCCAACCCAATCTCCACCACCAACCCGAACTCAACCCGCATTTTCTTCACTAACCAATCCCACCTCGTCGACCCGGACCCGGGTCACTCCTTTCAAGCCATCCGGGAACAGATATTTGGATCCAACACCACCTCTCTCAACCCACCGCCCATGAACGGCTTTGCGCAGCAAGCTGGGTCCATGGACCCAAACATGCCCGAAACCGTCATGAACGGGTTTGACCCGGACATGGTTGCCGTCTACAAGTCTCTGGTTTCCGAATTCGCCGTCTTCGACCGGTGGTTTGCCTCTGTTCCGGCCTCCACGCAGCCCAACCGCCTATACGTCCACTCCGCTACCTCCCATGGCGCCACCGGCAACGTGGCGGCATTGCTCGCTAAAGGGTACCCGCAGAGGACCATTTTCGATGACCTCGATGACGCCGGAATATCCTTCGGGATATACTTTCAAAACATTCCGGCCACGCTGTTTTACAGGAGCTTGAGGAAGATCAAGTATATAGGTATGGGAAATGATATACCTCTTCTTTTTTTTCGTGAACACAGCTGAAAGGAAACTTGTTAATAAATCTTATTTATTATTATTATTATTATTAATATTTTTTGTCAAATGTTAATAGCTATGTTTAATTTCATAGATAGGAGTATATACACTTTTAATTAGCTCTTAAAAGTGTCGTTTCACAATTTGTATAAAATATTCAACGTTCAAAATTCAAGTCCATTTACTTGGATAAGTATTTTTTAATTTTTAGCTTATAAAATCAATTAAGACTTAAAAGACGAGATTCACATTTAGCATTACTCATAAATAGACATTAATATACGCAATTATACTCTGCTTACTTTCTTCAATAATATAATTTTTTTATTTTTTTTTCCGGAAAGTCCAAACAAAAGGTATTACTACTTATATATTTTGTTAAAATTTAAGAAATGCCTCAATCAATTTTTTAAAATACTTCATTATATATTCTTACCCCACTGATTTTTTTTGAATTTAAAAGATATAAAGTAATCCAGCTCTCTTTTTCTCTCATTAAAAAATTTGATTTTTATGATTTTTATTTGATTTTTTAAAATTATTTATAAATTCGTTTACAATCAATGATGTCCCCCATCAACAAAATTTTTGGGTCCTGATTTTAATTGAATATGATATCAAATCTTATAAAATCAATTAGTTAGAGTATAAAATCCTAGAAAATCAATTAGTTATGGGTATTCAAGCATAATCATAATATTTTTATAGGTAGATTTCATCCGTACGACCTGTCTTTCAAGAGTGACGCGAAGAATGGGAAGTTGCCCGGTTATGTTGTGGTGGAGCAGCGGTACATGGACTCTAAGCTGGAGCCAGCAAACGATGATCATCCGTCGCACGACGTGTATCAGGGTCAGATGTTTGTGAAGGAGGTGTACGAGACGCTGAGATCAAGCCCGCAGTGGAACCAGACTCTGCTAGTGATCACCTATGATGAGCACGGCGGGTTCTATGATCATGTCCCCACACCGATGAATGGGGTCCCCAGCCCCGATGGAATCGTGGGTCCGGAGCCATTTTTGTTTGGGTTCGACCGGTTAGGGGTTAGGGTTCCTACTCTAATGGTCTCACCTTGGATTGACAAGGGTACCGGTATGTAATCTGTCCTCTTAATCCCATGCATTACTATTTTGAATTGAATTTTTCAAGGGATTGAAGAGTATTCTTTGGCCGAATACTTATAATTGGTCGTGAATGCAAAATATAAGAAGTGAGACCCTCTATTTTTTTATATCTTACATAAATAATCAATTAAGAATATTCGGTTAAAAAAATTGTGTCTAATTCTTTGGTGTAAGTATCACACTAGAGGTAATATTTACCCTCTACTTTTGTGTCGTTTTGTATTGAATTTTGCATTACTTTTTTGAATTTGAATTGATTTTAAGTTACAATTTATATAAGGAAAATGATACTTGAGTAGAAATGCTTAACGGAATAGCATGCCGATGCATGTGCATAATGCAATGTATTGGGATCCATACGAGTCCGTCCTGCATCCAAGGGTGGAGTAATGCTCGAATATTATTCGACTTAAATATTATTACTTTGTATATAAAGAAGGAAATATTTACGCTCCACTTTTATGTTATTTCACTCCTCTTAAATTTTGTGTGGACGTTGTTTTGAAGGATAATAATATGACATTTTCTTTTTCATGAGAAGTAAGTAGAGTGCAAAATAATCCTCCTTTTATATTTATCCTAACTATTAACTTGAAATGTTGCATATAAAACTCTATTATAAATTAGTGATGAAACTTCTTATATTCTATCTCTTTGATAATGACAAATCACTCACATCACACCTGAGTTTGTTTGGACTTTGAAACTTCTTCTTCACTATGAAGGAAATGCTAATTGACTTCAACCCTAGGGCTTGTTTAGCAATCGCCTCTGCTTCTTTTTTTTCTTTTTTGGCTTTAAACATTATAGTAGTGAAGTAAAAGTACAAAGTATATTTAATAACGTATGTTATTTGTTGCGATTTGAATAGTATTAAAGTGACCACTAACAGGTCAGTGGCCTAGTGGTACCAGGTCTCTATTTTCTAACGAAAGGTTAGAGGATTGAGTTTCAACCATGAGTGTATGAGTATACCAACTAAGAAAATAATAAATAAATAAATAAAAAGAAGTCAAAACCGAAAGCTCGTTCAAATACCCACACACTACATGATTACTCCCCCTTGAACAAACCTACTCACAGAATATGAACTGGTCGGGACCAGTTCAAATGCCCACACACTGCATGATTACACCCCTTGAACAAACCTACTGACAGAACACAGATATTTTTGTGACCACCACACGTTAGCTACTACGTTTTCACACTGCTTTTTTTTTTTTAAGTAGCATTGAAAAGATGTGACTAGCATAATGTCTTTTTTATTTTAGTTTTGTAATACAATGGTGATTGTATGAGATGATATTATTGACCAATCAAATAATGACACATAGCGTTAGGTGAAGGGTTCAGTCAATAAATACATTTTTACTATATTTGGGACCACTGAATCAGTGCCGTGTTAAATTTATGTGACTCTTAATAATAGAATTTAATGTACGAGTTCTCATCCCAGGGAATTAGTTTGATATATGTAAATTAAGCTTGTGATGGTTATGATTGTGATGCAGTTGTTCATGGGCCTAACGGATTGCCATTTACAACATCAGAATACGAGCATTCGTCCATTCCAGCAACAGTTAGGAAGATCTTCAACTTGTCCTCACCCTTTCTTACAAAGAGGGATGAATGGGCTGCCACCTTCGATGGCATCCTCCAAACCCGAACAGAACCTAGAACCGATTGTCCAGGTTTTTCATCTCAACTTCATTTATGTTGCGTTTGGAAATTTCGAATCAGAACTTCACATCAAACTTTAAACTAAATTTTCTACAATTTCAATTCCAGTGCACCAATTTGATGCTCGAAACACAGCTTTAATCTTATCATCCAAATTCTTATAAAAACAAAATAAATCAATGCTTCACAAGTATACAAAAGTTGTGTACGACTTGAATCTAAGTCCTTAGGTATAGAGTAGTTTTGTCATATTTGTAACTCTGTATAAATAATACTTGCCTCCACACTATTGATGTAGCATAATGACAAAATGACACGTGTTTGATTTAAAATTTAAAATTCAATTTCTGTATGAATAATACTTGCCTCCACGTTACTGATGTAACACAATGACAGAATGACACGTGTTTATTTTAAAATTTAAAATTCAAAATTGACATGTTCCCAAGGCATATGTGTTTGTTGTGTCACATTAATGGTGCCGAGGCAAATATTGCTCTTCTTGTAATATCTTCTACTAATAATTTTTATACTTAAAATTTTTGACACTCACTAATCCAGTCTCATCACTACTTGTGCTTTTCATTGCTATTTCAATAGAGCAACTCCCGACTCCGGTGCAGATCAGGCAGGGCGGAGCTAAAGAAGACGCGAAGCTTAGTGAATTCCAACAGGAGATGCTGCAGCTTGCAGCAGCACTAAAGGGCGATGATATCCTAACGAGTTATCCGAAAAATATCGGGAAAGAGATGACTGTGAAGGAAGGGAAGGAGTACATGGAGGATGCAGTGAAACGCTTTCTGGAGGCAGGACTCGCTGCTAAGAGAATGGGCGTAGACGGAGAAAACATTGTTAAAATGAGGCCCTCACTAACGACAAGAACGTCAAGAGATTCAAATCAACACCCTTAAGAGAACATTGCATTATAGGATTGGATTTGGGAGCTGAAATGTTTTTGAAAAACCTGTTGGTGAATTCTTGAACTAAAGATGTACAGAAATCCAGAATCATATGCTCGTGAAGCAAATGGCCAAAGAAATGTTGTGATGAAAATTGGCTTTGGAGTTTTCTTTAATGCACTTATTATGCTAGGTTGTTTATAGTTCATGGTCATCACGGCGTTAAAACATGCGGTATCATGAAGGGATGACGAATCTACATATAGCACTCCACCCTTCCACACCTAGTCGATGTAGGAATTGTGAACACATGTGACTCACACCAGAGCCTTGCCTCTCAAAGGCCTGCTCCCGCCCATCGAGCCTCACAATCAGTCTTGGACTATGCTAGACTACTATGAAGAATATAGCCTATGTTTGAACATTACCAAGTTTCAAAGACCAAAACCTGCAAAACACACATGATGAAAATACTTTCGACCTTCTGCTTTGGAAGGTGATGATAAAATGTGTTCTACATGCAGTACATCCAACTTGATCCGAGAAAAAGAGCCTTGTCAACGTGATTCAAACTACCATCTACCCAAATTAACATCAATCATATCAATAAAATGTTCATTTCAAACCTAAAAAACTTATACAGAGCTACAACCCAGTGATACTTCTTGCCCATCAAAATAAAAGATCGAGAATTCAAGTTTCCAAAGTAGCATGTGAGTGTGTGCATTTCTTATATATATATATAACTTGAATTTTTCACTTTTTTCCTGTCCATTAAATGGCATTTACCTTCCAATAACAATTATGTTTACATATAAGTCCTATCCTTGGACAAGTGACACCAACACTGAAGCAAACAAAAGTAATAAATTGGGGGATGGTTGTGAATTTTAATCCCAAGCTAAATAGAAGATGTCAATGTCAAATGCATTCCAAATGTAAAGGTCCGCTTAGTTTGTAATTTTGAGAATAATTTTATATTTTCAGAAAACTGAAAATACAAAACTATACAAAAAATTTTTTTTTGCTTGATTTAATTTTCTAAAAACTATTTTTTGAAAATTTATTTATAAAAATACCTATTTTCAGATAACTGTCTTTTATAGTTCTCTGAAAACAGCTTTCTATTCTCTGAATTCTTGAGAATGTTTTTAAAGTTACAAACCAAGCATGTCCTAAGATTTAGAGAAGTATTTTTTATGATATTTCTACATGAGAAGTGATTTCAAATGAGTACTGGCTAAATCTCATAGAGCTATCAGTTTCAAAATATCAAAACCCAAGTACAAAACCACTTGAAGATAATTTTCCATCTCCTTCCATTTCCAGCACCGAGTTTCTCAACAATTTCCAGAAACCTAGCATCAAGATGGAATAAGCCGGTTACAGTGCACTTCAAAACTGAAAAAAATAAAAATAAAATAAATTTAATAATTGCAGCTACACAGATTTGATTCTTTAAATGACTGCAATCTCTTCTTATTGAGCACTGTTTCCCTGCAATTCTGAGCAAAATTAGAGCAATACGAAACTAATGAACACATTAAATTGTGACGAACAATCGACATAAATCCATCACCTCAAGTTTTTTCATATTTCCAGGCACCAATAAAAGCTACATTAATCACTTCATTAGCAGCTCCTCATAGGAGGCTGCACTATAAAGACAGCCATAAACCTCAAACAAATCGTACAGCCTTCATGGTCATTCATGATTCCGAGCATCAGTTTCAGAAGGCATACCATTCTATCGTACAAATTGACTAGAAATGCAGAATCTGAGCATCAGTTTCAGGAGGCGTACCATTCTATCGTACAAATTGACTAGAAATGCAGAATCTCTCCACAATAATACTGTGTAAAAAGGTGAATCCAGCCATTCACTTCAAGGGCTGATTTGAACGGAATGAATGCGGCTAATGTCAGTCCCATTTAGCCTCAAACTTCCTGCTCAATTACAGCCTCAATGGGGAAGCCTTGCCCGACAAGCCAGAGACCAAAACACAGCTTGGGCACAAAATGAGTGTACACGCTAATGGAAGTATATTAGATTGGTGACTTTGTGAGAGTGATGCTGGCTGCATTCGTGGACACGATATCAACAATAATAGGAATTGACACAAAATATAAAAATGTCTAATAAAAATTAAAAATTCCTGCAGACGAAGTGTGATTGGCCCTATATGAAGATATATTATACTCTATCCAAGCTCGGTAAAATCCCAGCCCTCCTAGACTTCAGACAGCCCACATTGTACGTTAAGTGAACAAGCCCAAGGCAACAAAAACTTACTAATAGGCAAATGAAGCCAACAGGGATAAGAAGTATAAAAAAATAAAAACAAGTTCATTCTTTTCCTACCATGTCAGCACGTCCAAGCCATTCACATAAAGAATCATGTACAAACTTCCAGAGGGCGGTTTCAATATTTTAACCACTAGGACCACGCAAACGTTTCAACAACCACAGCTTTCTTAACCTCTCATCCAATTTTAAGAACATCTTCGCCCTCTTCTCATCAAAAGAAAGAAATTCACATGCCTCGATGATAAGATCGTCATCAAAACCTGGGATGTTCTGTACCATCTCAAATATTTCATCCAAGCACACTGACTGGTTGTTTATTGCCAAAGCATCGGCAATCCTACCAACATTTGCAGCCATGGCACTCATCATTTCTATCATTACATAGCTGTCACGTCTCTTCTTAAAAGGCTGTTTGCAATGTGACGATGAAGAACGCCTAGCTCTCGTCTGCTGGGATGACCCTTGAGTGTCGTCACCAGAATCATCCTTGCTCATTTCCTCATCAACCAAGATGTTCTGTAATGGGGTTTCTACATGCTCTTCGTTATTGAAAGTGGGATTCAAATCACCTTTGGCACCAGATGCAGACCAGCACCCATTTGCATTACCATTGTCAAGGATTAGACGCAATTCATCATAATTCTCAATAGATCTTGCCCGTAAAAATTTAGCATCAGGATGTGTCTGGAAAATGTAACATTAATTTAGAAAACTACAACTAAAGAATAAGTAAAATGAAACAGCTTTTAGGATGAATGAACTAATAATTTCCACCAATACATCTCTACAAAAATATCAAAGCTTTTCATGAGCCTTTAGAATTACTTTTCTAACAAGAATCAGTTAAAGTAAAAACTACATCTTTTTTATTTTTTAATTTTTATTCAGAAAGAGAATTTACTAAAAAGAAGAGCAAAAACTATACAGATACATGGGGCATAACCCAGGCTTAAAGGAAAGAGGACTGCCAAACAATCCAACATAACAAACATGGCAAAAAGGATGGACTTCTGACTCCAAGACTAACTTTAACCCCAAGAATTGGGTCAGAAAATAGATGCCCTGCCAAAACCCGATACACAGTAACAATGCAGCAACCACTATAAGAATTACAAAGAACCAGCAAAGCAGCCTGCTGTAGGACAACCAGATCTCAAGGTGAAGGTAAGACTGAATCAGGAATACACCATCTTCTACAAGCTTTCTGATTCTCCGTATCCAATGCCCTTCCCATTTTGGGGAGGCAAAATAAAATATAATGTATCAGGCAAAGAGGAAGAAGAATGATCAGAATTTGATTTGTCCAAGATAGCACGCCATAACTTGAAGCAATGCCAGAAAGAAAAAATGATTATCAGTTTCATAAGTCAAAAAAGATCATACTTGCAGAGTCTGTCACAAAGGGGAGGTGACAGAACATTTAGAGCTAAATGAGACATAAGAAAAGTGCCCGAGGAACCAAAGTAGATGACACCTAGGCACTTTAAGGAAGATCTAAGAGCAACCAAGCAGAGAGGAACTGAAATGGGGAGATGGAGACAATATAAGTGCATCAGGAGAAGAAGAAATAGTAACATGAGGCATAGATTGAAATAATGGCGGACAAAACTGCATCAGTGAGAGGCCAACGCGAGTCATTATGAACCATATTATCAGCAACAATCGGCCATTTGCCTAATTGTTAGGAGTATGAGTCTATAGTCTTAAGTGTTGGCAAATTTCGTAGACCAAAACACACAAATGTAGGAGACTATGCTTATTCCTTTCAACACTATGTATTTGGAAGTGATGTTTTGAGTCTAGAAGTGAAGATTTATGTTCAAGTGTGATATTCGAATGATTTGTGAAGTGTCTGAATGAAGTGAAACTAAGTATTATGCATACCTGTCTATTTAATCGAGTTCAAAGTCTTATAAACTTGATCATTCATAAACATATCTTAGAATATGCATGTTTAATTCTCAAAGGTCAGTTAATGCAGCTAAAACTGATGTATGCACTCCTAGGTTGAATATGGGTAAGTTAAACTTCAATCTAGTGGGAGAAGTATTCTGTCAATCTATACAAAAGGAAGCCTGGATCGATCGGCAGATAGTGCAACTTTGATCGGCAGGTCCAGTAGGGTTATCAATCGATGGACCTATAGCATTACTTCGATTTACAAACGCGGAAAAAGGCAATTTTGGGAATTCTTAGTGAGTTATTTTCTTATTCACTATATGAAAAGTGAGCCTCTGAATGCCTATAAATACAGAGGTTCTGTAAACCCTAAAAAGTGTGTGAAATGGTGTGTGAAAAACCGTGTGGAAAGTGTGTAAACACCATTTTTTTTTTTTGTTTCATTAGCAAGAAAGACACACACCCACTTTGCCCATTTGGGGACTCTAACTCTCACCATCCACTTTGGGAGGTAAAGGAGATACCACTAGGCCACAAGGCCCTTGGTGTGTGTAAACACCAATTATACACTGCATATATATATTATATGCATTGGGGGCTTAGTTTATGAATTCATACCATTCATAAACATATATTTTGTTTGTTTTTGTTTTTTACCACATAAGTGAAACTTCATATTTTCACACATATAACATTTGATCTTGTGAGTTTGATAAAGTGCATCGATTTATTGTTATCATACATCAAACATACTAGTCATGGTGATTTTGATGATTATTGGGTATTGATACTATTGATACTATTGCGAGTCTCCCACGTCTGTTTCAAGGTGGCTTTGTGAGATCTGCTTCTACGTACAGAGGGTCGTCGCTTTTCTTGGATGATGACTCAGTGGGCAAGAGAAGGGAGGATCTGAAGTCATGTTTGGTTGGGAAATTCGACAAAGAAGTGGGTTCTAGGGCTCAGATTGCAGATTGGGCCTCACGTGCGTGGAAAGTTTCTCCGGCGGTGGTTGTGTCGCCTTTGCCAAATTCTCTGCTCCTTTTCCGTTTTCCATCTTTGGCGGAAGCAGAGAGAGTGCTCAAGGGGGGGCGTCGTGACTGGGGGAAGGCTACGCTTTCTGTGGACTCATGGAATTTCAGGGTGGGATGCTCCGACATTTTGAAAGAGCAAGGGTTGAAGAAGGTGACGTTGTACGGTCTCCCTTTGCACCTTTGAAGTCATGCTCTTTTTGTGATGGTTGGGGATTTGTGTGGAGGTTTTATTTGGGTGGATGCTGATGAGTCTCTTGATGTTGAGAAGGTTCGGATCACAGTGTCTGACGGTCGTTCTTGCCCGCCGTTCATCTTTGTTCATGACGACTGTTTTTGCTATAAGGTGACTATTTGGGAGGAAACGCCCCCTCAACTTGTCCCGACAACTGATAGCCTGGAGGGGGGTGATGGATCTCACTTGTTGAAGGAGGTGAAGTGGCTGAGATGGACTTCAATGGGTGGAAAGGGGATGGCTGAATTTCGACGTTGGAAGAAATGGAGGGATGATCTATGGGATCGTAACACAGCGTGTTTTAGACGGATTTTCACTTAGAGAAGGCGAGAAAGGTCTTCTTCTTTGTCGGTTGGTGGCCCGAATTTTCAGAGGGGTGACAGGGCTGGTTTTGGCCGCCAGTGTTAGAAACGGGATAGGAACCTTTTTGGAGGTGGCTTTCACGCGCAGATGGAGCGTGGGTGAGGGAGAAAAGATTCCCTTACACGTGGTTGGCGCAGAGGTGAGAACCGTTCTAAATGGGTTACAGCTGGTTCATTTTCAAACTCCTTTGTGAAGCCAAGAACGGATAAGTTGTCATCATGTGTTGGTGGGCTTGCTATTGGGCCAATGATTGGTGATTTGGCTGAGCAGGATCAGGTTCCTTGCGGGCCAGTTTTTGGGCCTTCTTGTTCTAAAGAGCTTAGATCATCGTTGTGTGGGCCTATTAAAGGAAAGGAGACCCATGTTGAGGTCAATTGTTACTCGGAAGGTCATTCAGATGTTGGGGGCTGCAAATTTTTGACTGGGCCAAATTCTGTGCCTGTTGACCCTAGGCCGTTTTGTTCTGGACTGATTGTGGCGAACCGTTTTGGTCCACTCTCTTCTAATGATGGTCCGTCCCAAGGCACTGACTGAGATTGAAGAAAAAGATCCTTCTCCCTACCTTCCGAAGAAAGTGGACTCGCAAGGAGAAACAAAAATGGATCTCTCGTTTAGATTTTGTCCCAAGTAAGTTGGACTCTGTGAAAAGCTCTTAGCCTTTGTTTCCTTCCTATTCTACCCGTCTTCCTCTTCTGGATTGTCGAGGACTTGCTCGGAGAGTTTGATGAGGCCGGTGCCCTCTGTTTCATCGGTTTTGGAGGATGGATTGAAGATTGGGCAGAAGGAGTTGCTTGGGGGTTTTCAGGTGGAGGGGTTGGGATCTTCTCGGCCGGTGGTTTGGAAAGGAGAGAGTGTCACAGTTTGTGTGGGACGTGATGTGAAAATTCGGCTAAATGATGCTTCTGCGACTGTGTTATTGAGTGAGTTGCGGACTCATTTAGCCTTTTAAGGCTTTCAAAGTGGGTCGACTGGCCTTTGTCTGCAGAGGATTGTGGGACCTCGCTGGTTTCTTGCTCACCTCCCTCGTTGGTTTTTGAGGATGTTGATGGTGGGTCGGTTTCTTCTGTTAATGAGGATTTGGGGTTGATTCAGTGGAATGGTAGTGAGACGGATTTTGATGTTTTTGCTCCTTTGGCTGTTGTTTAACCGGAAGAGGATATTGTTGCTGGAAATGTTTTTGAAGCAGGGAAGGCTGATGTGGAGGAGGATTGGATGAGGGAGAAGGGTGTTGAGATTGGCTCTTTGTTAGGAGTCTCTTTTGAAGGCAGAATGGAGGAGGCGACAAATTTGTTTCTTGAGATTCTGAATTCTCAGCAGATGGAAAGAATGGGTTGTAAGGGGAGGAGAGGAAGTTTTCCAGTGGGGGTGGAGGAGAGGGGAGGGTTGAGCCCAACGGCACTTGTCACTTATGAAAGGGGGAGCAAGGGTTCTAGGGAGGGGCGGACAGGGGGGGGGGGGGGGGGGGGGGGGGAGCGGTTTGCTTTGGATGCAATTGGCTCTGCGGGGGGTGTTCTTGTGATGTGGCTAACCGGTGGGTATCTATGTTGGACTCTCAGGTTGGGCTTTTCTCTGCTTCCTGCATTTTCTCTGTGGTGGAGGATAATTTCCGTTGGGTGTTCTTTGGCATTTATGGTCCTACTGAGGACAGCGAGCGTCATTTGCTTTGGGATGAGTTGGGAGAGGTTCATAGGGGTTGGTCGCTGCCTTGGTGTATTGGTGGGGATTTCAATGTTGTTCGTTCTCCTTTTGAGCGATCGACGGGAGGTAGGTGGACGGTTGATATGGAATCTTTTTCGGAGTTCATTGACGTTTTTAGATTGATTGATCTGCCTTTGGTGGGTGGGCCTTTCACTTGGTCCAGTGGTCGTTCTCCTCCTACCATCTCTCGACTTGATAGATTTCTTGTGTCAAGCGATTGGGAGGAGCACCTTTCGGATGTTGTTCAGGCCACTTTGGCTCGCCCTGTATCTGACCATGTTCCGTTGATGTTGGATTGTGGTGGGCTGCGTAATAGAAGATCCCCTTTTCGATTTGAGAACATATGGCTGAGGGCTGAGGGGTTTCTGGAGCAAGTTCGTTCTTGGTGGATGGGGTATTGTGTGGCAGGCACCCCTAGTCACTCTCTCGCAGGTAAGCTGCGGTTCTTGAAGAATGAT